TTTTCTACGCAGAGATGAAATCATAACTAGTAATATACGCTGGTACAACGCCCGTGTATTACATGGGTGCTTGCTAATTTTTTTAAAAAAATTTAAAATTAATGAGAAAAAATAGTTGAAAATTTAATTACTTTTTATTAAAAAATATATATTATTATATATTTAGTATGACATTTTTTATTTGTGTGACTTACTTGTGTTATATTATAATAATTTTTTTAACTTACAACATATAACTACATTAAACATAAATATATCAACTGAGAAATAATTTTATTTTTCTAATACATTTTCATAAATATTATTATTTTTTATTATTTTAAAGATAAATATAATATTTATTTTATATATACAATATGGATGTCAAATCAAAGATCATTAAAAGATGATTAATTTGATATATTATATATGTAAAACGATAAGAAATACAAAAGTTATCAACTTTTAAAATACATTTATAATTCAATAGCTAATTGAAGGAAACAAATCAAAAGTTAGGGATATATTAGTCACTTAGTGCCTCACTGTGTAAAATTACAAAGAATTAAAGGGTTATATTAGTACAAGTGATATTAAAATACCTAAGTTAGCTAAATAATATTTATGGAATGTCCGAACCTAGATTATTAATTAATATATCAATATTATTTGTCCAAACCTAATTACGAAGCATGAATCTTCGCCAAGTATGATTACGAAGCACCAGAAACAGCCACGTAGGCTCAGCGCATTCGGAACTATATATAGGGAGGATAACCAAACATCTAAGAAATATATAAAACTAAATAATATACATTAGCTGGCTACTTCAAATAATTTTGGTATATTAATTTAGTTTATTTATACTTTGCCACAATGAGAGTCTAAAGGTGTTGAATTACTCGGGCAGTATAAATTAGGGTTGCAAACGAATCGAGCGACTCGCGAGCGCTCGAGTCAAAGTTCGGCCCGAGCTTGAGTTTGACTAAATTCGGGTCAAGCTCGAGCGGCTAGACCATGTTATCGAGTCGATCTCGAGCATAGGCATTGGAAAGTCGAGCAGCGTGCGAGTAGCTCGAGATATATATTGAATTACTAAAATACTTTTTATATATAAATATTACAATGTTTTATGTATGCACTTAGTGGTGATTTTTTACTTAAAATTCGAGTCGAACTCGAGCCGAGCTCAAACGATTTGTCGAACATTTTGATTTCGATTAATCTCGATCCGAGCTTGAGCGATTGCCCTTTTTTTTGTCAAATTGATCTCAAGTGTTATAAATCAAGCTCAACGAGCTCGAGTAGGTAAAAAAAAAAAAAATCTTGTTCAGTGAAACCAATACTTGACTCGGCTCTACTGTTTTGCAGCCCATGGTGTGCGCGTAGCCTACAACGTAGATTCTCCCTAGATATAGATTTAATATTTCAAGGATTAGTTACATTAATGAACAATAAATATTTTGTTATTAACCTAGTTGTTTGTATTTTT